AAGCCGTGAAGGCAGCTTTCATCCGGCGCTCGGGGTGCCGGTCCAGATCGTTGGCAACGCTGCCGGGAGGGAATTTGGAGAAAGACACGCGTCAGAGACACCTCCCCGCGGGCCGCTCGCCCCGCTCTGATCCCCTGTCAACACGACCAAGTGCCTGCGGAATAACAGGGACGATAAAGCGGAAAACCCCGTGATACCGCCCCTGCCCACTCCACACACTCTCCACGGAACAACGGGGCAGGGGACGCATCCCGCTCCTGCTGCTGAGAGAGGAAGCCACAGTCGGGGTGTAAAAAGAGGCCGGTTCTTGGGGAGGGAGCGTCTGCAAGAATTTCTTGCGACGTCTTCAAAGGAGAGCACAGCTACGGCACGGCCACGCACCTGAGGACAGCGATGGCATCCTCAATCGTCCTGGCCTCCACCGACCCTTCCTCCAGGACCCTCCTGTTGATGTTCTCTTCCAAGGGCACCTCCAAGTGAGTCTTCTCCTTCTCCACTGCAGGGGAAAGGGAGAGCCGTTAGCGTCAAATCCTGTGTCAAACCCTCAGAGAGGGGGTTCCAAGCAGGTGAGAAAGGACCAGCCCCCCCTTCCCGCCCCGCAGTTCCCCGGGGCTCTCGGGGCCTTTCCGTGGTTCCATCAGACCTGAGTCCGTGTTCTCCTTCTGCTGCTGGTCTTTCCTGATCGTCTCCTCGATCTGAGCCCTGGTGACTTTGCCCGGAGTGACCTGCTTGGGCGACTTCCCCTTCAGCTTCGAGTCCTCCTCCTCCAGCAGACGCTGCAGCTCCTTCTTGCGCTCCAGCTGCTCCAGCCGCCGCTTCTCCCTCTCCTCCTGGAAGGGAGAAAGGACCAGGTCACCTCCATCCTCACCCCTTCGCCAGGCAGAGGGATCAAACCATCCCCTACAGGAGCTGGGAACCCCGCCTGGACAGGAACAGACGCCCCATTTCTAGCTGACACTGACCTCACCTTATCGAAGGGCCGCCGGCTGCATCCCCCCGACCCCCACCACTGCCTGGCCCGTCCCTTCGCAATAACAATTCTCCCTGTCCCATCCGCAGCCACGCGCCGGCTCCCCGTGACGCCAGGACAGCGAAACACAACCCGAAAGGGGCGGGAGGCACCGGCCAGGAGTGCTGACAATCAGATTAAGTTTTCCACTTTAATTTTAATAAGTGGTGGGAGGTTGAAAGTTCAGCAGTTGTTCGAGACAAGCCCGTCAAGAGGCTGAATCCGTCCTCGGGTCAGGCTCACACTTGTCCCAAGAGCCCGGGCAGGCGGTCAGAGCGAGTCCAACCCACAGCGCAGCTCTTGGGGGAATTTCAAAGTGCTCCAGAAGGAGTTCAAGAGCCACTTTGCCCTCCAAGGCCCGGGAAAGAGGGTGACAAAACCAGGCAAGAGGTCCTCAGGGGCTTCCAGCACTTTGGGAGTTTTTTTCCTCCTCTCCCAAAGCCTGCGGGCTGGCAAAGAGAAGCAGACACCGAGGGAAATGTCGGGGGCAGCGTCACGCGGCTGCTGCAGAGCGCTGGGCATGCAGGCTGCTTCCAGGGACACTAATTACGGCTCTCATCCATTATGCACGGGGATGGCACAAGGCTGCGATGGAGCGTTAACGGGATGGGTTTGCTCCCAGGCAGCTGCGCGGGAGAAGCACCCCGGCAGTAACACAACCCGGCGTCTTCCTCGGTGTTCGAGGAGCAGGAGCAGGATGACAGGCGCTGGGGAACGGCCCCGCAAGCAAGGCTGGGGTCTGAGATTCTGTTCAACAAAAAAATCCTCAATCGCTCTACGGCTGAAGAGTTTAAACCCATCAAAACACAGAATCAAAGCCCACAAATGTTGAACCAAAACACGCCCTCGGGCTGCTGCCACTTCGTCAAGCACAGCAAGGAGCAGGCGGGAGGGAGC